ATTGTAGCCTCAGTTTCCTGTTCTTAGCTGACAGGAGCGGCACCCGGTGTGCTCTTCTGCTGCTGTAGCCCATCTGCCTCAAGGTTGGACGTGTTGTGTGTTCAGAGATGCTCTTCTGCAGAGCTCGGTTGTAGCGAGTGCTTATTTGAGTTACTGTTGCCTTTCTATCAGCTGGAACCAGTCTGGCCATTCTCCTCTGACCTCTGGCCTCATCAACAAGGCATTTGCGCCCACAGAACTGCCGCTCACTGGATATTTCCTCTTTGTCGGAGCATTCTCTGTAAACCCTAGAGATGGTTGTTTGTGAAAATCCCAGTAGATCAGCAGTTTCTGAAATACTCAGAGCAGCCCGTCTGGCAGCAACAACCATGCCACGATCAAAGTCACTTAAATCCCCTTTCTTCCCCATTCTGATGCTCGCTTTGAACTGCAGCAGATCCTCTTGACCATGTCTACATGCCTTAATGCATTGAGCTGCTGCCATCCGATTGGCTGATTAGAAATTTGTGTTAACGAGCAGTTAGACAGGTGTACCTAATAAAGTGGCCGGTGAGTGTACAGTATATGCTCTTTGACACTCAATGGGCTGTAAGTGGGCTGAAATGTTATGATTGTAAACTGAAGTTTTTCTCCTTCCTCGTGCAGATTCGATGGACAAAGACAGCAGGCAGTGTTTCAGACCGGTTCCAGGACTCCAGCGTCTTCAACGAGACTCTGCACATCTCCAAGATCCAGCGGCATCAGGGCGGACGCTACTACTGCAAGGCGGAGAACGGCCTGGGCTCACCAGCCATCAAGTCCATCCGGGTTGACGTTTACTGTGAGTTTACAGCGCTAATGTCAATGCCAATCACTCACTGCGCAGCTAACACACTTATCTGAAGCTAACAGGACGTATTTATAACATCAGTTGCACTTTACTTTACTGTACATTAACAGAACGTTGTTATGATTTTTTTTGTACTTAAATATTTAAAAAATTTTGAGAGAGCATTAACCACATTTCCACTGTCAGGCCAGTGCGAGCCAGGGCTTTTATCGGGCTGGGCCAGGCCATGCCAATCGCTCTGGAGGTTGAGCAGTGAGGGCTAAATTGTGGCGCGTTTCCAGGTTTATGTATATCTGTTGGGAAATATGTGGAAAAGAAGCTAAATTCACAGGAGGCCCAATAATGTTGTCTTCAACTATTGTGTGTGTGTGTGTATATCTATATATGAGTGTATATTAGGGATGCCATGGTCCTCAATATAATATTGAACCGTTCGTTACGACCTCCACGGTTCAGTACGCACTTGTGAATTGCCTTATTCTCGGTTTTGCGTTTAAATAATTTATGTGCGTTTCATATCACCCTGAATTGACTGTGTGTGCCTGTAAATCCATGAGCTGAGATGAGGAAACTCCTCCCCGTGAGTAAATATCCAATCACTGTGCTCTAAAGTTAGGGGGCGCTTGACCATCACTCCACACTTTAACATGGCGAGCGGCGGTGAAGTGAGGCAACAGTACGAGAAAGCGTCGGCGTCTTTCAAATCTGCAGTGTGAGGACATTTGGGTTTTGCCAGTAAGTATAATGCCAATAAAAGAAAAAACAGTGAACAAAAAATAACTGTGTGCAGCATTGATTTACACGTATAACCATGACTGCACATCTGCAGCGCATCACCCAGCAATATCACTGTCTGAAGCAGGAGAGCAGAGAAGCTAATACAGTCCTCCAAACAGCAACAATCCCTCACTGAACCTTCCAGCAAACAAACCCAACTGGCTCCGAGAGACACATTAAATAACAGAGGCAGTGTGGGTGATTACTGCTGAAGATTTGCAGCTGTTTTGGGTGATGTGAGATGTGGGCTTCTGTCATCTTATAAAAGCACTCGATCCACATTACAGACTACAGTCTGGCATTTTCCAGCAGCGAGATAATGAAGATGTTTATTTATGTTTACTGAAGTACAAATATGTTTATTTGAAATGGCCAATTCATCTTTATTAACTTCACATGTGTGTTTATTCTCAAAGTGCAGGATTTCATGTGTTCACAGTTTGTAAATGGGCTACCAGCAGAGTTCACTGTTAATGTTTTTTATACAATACACTAGGAACTACTGTACTTAAGTAAAACAAATAAATAGTGCAATAAATCGTTTTTATTTTTCTCCTTAACCTCTTACTGTTCCTATTGCCTTTAGAATAATAAAAAACACACGTGTCAAGCCATGAGAACCAAACCAAACCTAAAACCGTTAAAAAAACCGAGGTATTTATTGAACCGTGGGCTTACTGTATTGTTGCATCCCTAGTGTGTGTGTGTGTGTGTGTGTGTGTGTGTGTGTGTGTGTGTGTGTGTGTGTGTGTGTGTGTGTGTATATTTATTTATACAAGATAAAAAGTAACTTGTAACTATTTACGTCAACCAGATACTTTTTTACTCTTACTCGAGTAACTTTTAAGACCTTTACTTTTATCTGAGTAAAATTTCCTCAAGTTCTTGTACTTG